AGTATGAGTTAGGTGAGTTAGGTGTAGGAGTGTGGGGACAAGGAAAAAGGGAGGAGGGGTCCCTAGAGGCTGGGTGCCCATTACATGGACTCAAACTCATCAATGCGCTGCTTGGTGTTGCCCTGCCGGATCTGGCGCAGGGTCTTGTATTTGTCTCGGCCCAGTCGCATGTTCTCAGCATGGATCATGTCCTTGGCAGTCTTCTTGGACTCATCTCGGGCATTGGCCAGCTCCGAAGTGAGGGCCTGCAAGGATGCACAGGAACACAGAGGTCAATGGCTTTCTCTCATTTTACCTCCCGTTATTTGACCAGACTTCCCTTCTCTTTTGTTTCCTTCTTTCTTACTCACCCTCTCTCTCTTCATATATATACATATACGTATACATATATATACATATATGTGTATATATATGTATATGCGTATACATATGTGTATATACATATATATGTATATACACGTGTGTGTGTGTGTGTGTGTGTGTGTGTGTGTGTATAAAAGTCATTTCCAATTCTGCTAGAAGTGCAGTGGGGCAAGAATTTAAAAAAAAAAATCACACAAACTTGGGGGACCAGTTGATAATGGGTATCCTTTAAGAGTAGAACAACATACCAAAGATTCAGGTGAGAATTTTGTCAACTAGATATTTTCTTGATGTAAGAGGTGAATGGAGTGAGTGGGAGGTGGGGCAGAGAGAAAATCTCAAAAAGGGAAGAGATAGCCCAAGGTCTGATTAATAAGTGGGAGGTGCCTATCCTTAAAGCCTTCACTTAAGAAAGACTTGGGCTCCCATGCAGCACTGGGACAGGATCTTGTACCTATCCCCCATGATGGTCTAGGGAATGCCATGGGCTATTAAATCAATGCATATAGTTTCCTTGACCCTTGGCCCTACTTGGATACCTTCAGGTGCTTCTGCACACGCTCATTCTTCTCCGCCTCAGTGGTACGTTCCTCCTCACTGCGGTCCTTGGCCATAGCATCAGCCCGTAGGTCAGCACTAGCCTCTGCCCCATTCTCATCCTGCTCATCC